TGACTTGCTGTGGTACAGCCTGGGACTCTATGTGGGCCACTGTCCCTCTACGGGCCACAGTTTCTTTATCTGTAAACTCAGCTCCCTTGCTCCCTGGCTCTGGCCTTCTGAAGGTCTGCTCGATTAATTTATCATTTAGCATTTTATTTGCAAACATGGACACATGTAGCTGGTGTCCGAAGGTGAGTCCATGCCTAACCCTAACATCACCTGTGTCATACTCAAAGTATATTGATGCTAAAGTATTGCATGAGTCAAATATAACACTCTGTATAAAAGCTCTCTTTCAGTATTCTGTCAAGGATTTAATCCTACAAATCAGTAAGTCCTGCCTAAAAATAATGAATACACGCTAATAATGAATTGCGGCCACAATGAATAACGATGGTTTGGCATAATAAAAATCCTGAAATTTGCAGCTAGTTTTGTGATCCTGGAGAGGTCTCTGAACCTCTAAACCTCAGTTACTTCCTCTGCAAATTCAGAGGCACTCAATAAATGAGTGCTACCATCGTTATTATGATTATTTTGGTTTTATTTGCATAATTATAATTATCATTCATTATTTAATTCATCCAGCAAATATTTATCGAGGGTCTACCCAGTGCCAGGCACTGTGCCAGGCGTTGGGAAAACAGTGGTGAACCAAGGAGAGCAGGTCAGGGGTTCATGGGGCTCACAGAGTCGTCGAGAGGTCGAATAATTCCAAAACTGTACCAAGGGCCAGCCTGGACGTCATTTATGGGTGACATCGGAGAACAGAAACTTCGCCTAATTTTATTACGCTGGCGCCTCGGAGTAAACCCCTAGGGCAGGCTGGGCAGGTGTGATCACCCGCACTCGCCCATGAGGCCTCTCCACGGTCCCATGGCGGGGCGCGCCGGGTGACGGCAGCCGGGCCTCCCTCCGCGCAGGGAAGGAGGACATGCTGAGCCAGCGCGACTACGAGTCGGCCTCGCTGCAGGAGGTGCGGGCGCTGCTGCGGCGCCACGAGGCCTTCGAGAGCGACCTGGCGGCGCACCAGGACCGCGTGGAGCACATCGCGGCGCTGGCGCAGGAGCTCAAGTAGGGGGCGCGCCCGCGACGCCGCCCTGCCCGCCCCGCTCCAGACCCTCGGTTCCCCGGGGCTCCGTAACCCCGCCGTGGAACCCGTGACCTGCCCCATCACCGCTCACGCCGCCCCTCCTGGAACTCCATCCCGATCTCCCGACCCCGCTCTGCGGCCCACACTTTTCCCCACTGGCGCCTGACCTGTCCCGCTCCGTGGCCTGCCCCTAACCTGGCTGTTCCCTTCACCCCTGGCCTAGGCCTGCTCCCCCAAACTCTCCTCATCAGCCTTGGCCTCGCCACCTCCTCCTATAAGCCCGCCCCTTTCCGCATAACGCTGCCCCCCCAGACGCCAGGCCCTGCCCCTCCATCCAAGGACCTCCGTGGACTGGTGCTGAGGACCCACGGGTGTCCCTCTTCATAGAGGGAGCCCCCTAGGAAAGCCCTGCTTTATCCCCCACCTGCCCTGGCTCCCTTATCCTTCACCACCGGGGGAGGGGAGTCAGGAGGGCATCTGGGCCAGAATCTGGCCCCACACTCACCCCACTTCTCCTCCCAGTGAGCTGGACTACCATGAAGCAGCCTCGGTGAACAGCCGCTGCCAGGCCATCTGCGACCAGTGGGACAGCCTGGGCACGCTGACCCAGAAGAGGCGGGACGCGCTGGAGGTGGGGCTGGGGCCCAGGGAGCTAGGGTGGGAGGTGGGTGAGGCCGGCGGGCCCAGCCGCTGCTGAGCCGCCACCCCTCGGCCCCAGCGGATGGAGAAGCTCCTGGAGACCATCGACCAGCTGCAGCTGGAGTTTGCCCGGCGGGCAGCGCCCTTCAACAACTGGCTGGACGGGGCCGTGGAGGACCTGCAGGACGTGTGGCTGGTGCACTCCGTGGAGGAGACCCAGGTGGGCGCCAGGGTTGGGGGAGGCTGGATGGGAATGGGGTGACAGGGAAGCTGGCCCAAAATCCTGTTGGCCACTCCCCTGGGCTCCTGGGTGATGGGGATGGGAGGAAACTCCAGTTCTCAAGTGCTGGGCTGGGAGACGGGAGGGTCCCCGTGTCAGGCCTGCCTGCCGGGGCTGCTGGAGGCCTGGAGCACGGTGCTGCCCTTCTGTTGCCTGCGATGAGTGGGGGGCTCTAGCTGACGCTTCCTGCCCGTTGCCCCAGAGCCTGCTGACAGCCCACGAGCAGTTCAAGGCAACGCTGCCGGAGGCTGACCGAGAGCGAGGCGCCATCATGGGCATCCAGGCTGAGATCCAGAAGATCTGCCAGACGTACGGGCTGCGGCCCATCACCACCAGCCCCTACATCAGCCTCAGCCCACAGGACATCAACAATAAGTGGGACAAGGTCGGTGCCACTTGTCGCGTTTTCCTGCCCCCACCCACTGCTGCACACCCTGAAACCTCGGATGTCCCGAGATAGGGAGAATAAAGTCCACCAGCAGAGCTGGGGCCTGCCACAGGCTCCGTGTGGCTTGGGATAAGTCCCCTTGCCTGTCTGGTTCTCATCTGTATAATGGCTGTAACAGCAGCATTTTCTTGTCAGGACTGATGTGAAGTAGAATTAAGTCTTGTGTGTGCACATCTTTTACAAAACCGCCTATGTGAGTTATAAATGATGTCATCAGTCCCAAATTACAGGTGAGGAAACGAAGTCTATAGAGGTCACTGGCTTGCCCAAGGCCTTGCCCATAAAGCCCGGTTTGGCTCACAGCAACAGGCTGGGGTTTGAGGGGCAGGGAACAGGACCTGTGCGCCCATCTCTCCTCAAAGCCATCCCCCAGCCCCCAGAGCTGGCCCTGGCACCAACCACCCTCTTTCCAGATCCGAAAGCTAGTGCCCAGCCGTGACCAGACACTGCAGGAGGAGCTGGCACGGCAGCAGATGAACGAGAGGCTCCGGCGACAGTTTGCAGCCCAGGCCAATGCCATCGGACCCTGGATCCAGGCGAAGGTGGAGGTGAGGGCATGGATAGTGGGCCCAACCTGGGGGAGTGGGGCCAGGGCTGGGCTGCAGGGAGTTGGGAGTCTTCATGCTGCCTGGGCACCCCTGCAGGAAGTGGGGAGGCTGGCAGCGGGGCTGATCGGCTCTCTGGAGGACCAGATGGCTGGGCTGCGGCAGCAGGAGCAGAACATTATCAACTACAAGAGCAACATCGACCGGCTGGAGGGTGACCACCAGCTGCTGCAGGAGAGCCTGGTGTTCGACAATAAGCACACTGTCTACAGCATGGAGGTGGGAGCACACCCTCTGGGGTAGGGTACTGGGTGGGGAAGACTGGGGCCATCACAGTTGGACACAGCATGTGTCCCAGGAGGGTCCCCAGCTCAGCTTGGCCAAGTCCCCCAATGTACCCAGGGGATACTGAGACCCAATGACGAAAAGTCCAGAGTCACAAAGCAGTCCAAAGCCAGGCCAGGATTGGCCATGGCTAGTTCATCAATATTAACACCTAATAAATCATCAAACTTTAATGTAGGAAGGGGCCTGGGGGTCACTCAGTGGAACCGCCAGCCGGAGATGGAGGCCCAGTGAAGGGGAGAACTTGCCCAGGGTCACTCGGTGGATGGGGTGGAGCTGGGTCCAGCGGCAGCGCGGACCGTGCACTGACGGCGGCCTCTCCTGCTCCGCAGCACATCCGCGTGGGCTGGGAGCAGCTGCTCACCTCCATCGCCCGCACCATCAACGAGGTGGAGAACCAGGTGCTGACCCGAGATGCCAAGGGGCTGAGCCAGGAGCAGCTCAACGAGTTCCGGGCATCCTTCAACCACTTTGACCGGGTCAGCAGGGGCCCAGCCCTGTGGGGTAAGAGACTCGGGAGCTGGTGGGGTTTGGGGACCAAGCCTGATGTCCACTCACCCCCTATAGAAGCGGAACGGGATGATGGAGCCCGACGACTTCCGCGCTTGCCTCATCTCCATGGGCTACGACCTGGTGAGTGCCCCAGACGCCCTCCCGGAGTCCCACCAGTGCCCTCCTGCCTATCGAGGGGCTAGCAAGGGGTCAGAGAGGTAAATTAACTTGGACCTAGTCCTGTGTGGCCCCAAAGTCTGAGCTTGCAACATTTTTACCTCAGAGAAACAGCCCTACAGAGAGGGGTGCAGCCCCAGAAAGAAAATCAGGACCAACCAGCAAGAGGGGGCCTTGCGGTGGGCAGGAAGCAGACTTCAGCCTACCATGAAGGGCTGGGGCCAGGGCTGAGGTCTTTGGAGGAGGGGGACACCCTGTCACAGGGGTTGTGCAAGCGAGGCTGGCCCCTGGCGTCAGCACTCATGGGCACGGCGCCTGGCCCTGACTCTGCAGGGGGAAGTGGAGTTTGCTCGCATCATGACCATGGTGGACCCCAACGCAGCCGGGGTCGTGACCTTCCAGGCCTTTATTGACTTCATGACCCGAGAGACAGCCGAGACTGACACGGCTGAGCAAGTCGTGGCCTCCTTCAAGATCCTGGCAGGAGACAAGGTGAGCCTGGGGCAGTGGAGGGGCTGGCGGGCTGGGACGAGGAGCAGGTTCTGTGGCCCTCAACGCCTCTTCTCCTGCAGAAATACATCACCGCCGAGGAGCTGCGCCGCGAGCTCCCAGCCGAGCAGGCCGAGTACTGCATCCGCCGCATGGTGCCCTACAAAGGGTCTGGGGCCCCGGCTGGAGCCCTGGACTACGTGGCCTTCTCCAGCGCCCTCTACGGGGAGAGTGACCTCTGACCTCGACCACTGAGGGTCTCTACGCAAGATGGAGAGAGGGTGCTCCCTGTGGCTGAGCCCACCCATCCCTCAGAGCACGGCCGGCCATGTTTTTCTGAATAAAGCTCCATCCGTGGGCCTCTCCCCACCTCCTTGTAGCAGAAGCAGAGGCTGGGCCCTCAGGCTCCCGGGCAGGACCAGCTATCTATCGCACCTTGACCGCCAGGGGTTCCAACCATCCCTCTTGCCCTCAGGGACTAAGCATTCACACCATACTGGGGACCAGAACACCTCTTTATTGCTGTTAGAAAGGGCAGTTACAAGTTTTCTGGATGTGGAAGGGGACACCGTCCCCATATCCAAGGGGACCAGAAAATGTCTAGCATCAAATAGAGGAAAGCTGGGGCAGGAAGCCAGAACCTGCTGAGGACAGAGCTGGGTTTAAGATCAGAATATTTTCTTCCTGCTCATTACCTGAGCCAAGTTCTTGCCGCAGCTTCAGCGGCCAAGAAATCACCCTCCAACCCAAGATCGTCCTAGATACTACCACAGTTCAACAAAGGTGCAGGTGGGGGACTTCAGGGTGGGAGTGGGGTGTTGGGAAGCAGGGGCTGTGTGAGCCGGGTGCTCTTTGCTCACCCTGAGTGACCCAGTGCCTGTCCCTCAGCCAGCTGTACCTCCTGGGGAGAGGCCTGGACACGCAGGGCAGGCTGGGGAAGGGGCTGCTCTGGTCAGCGCCAGGTCCCAAGCCAGTGGGCTCCTCAGTCCACCAGTGCCGAGCTGGCCATAGTGTTCACACCACAGGCCCCAGACCCACGGTGCAAGTAGTAGTAACCCTGGGGGAGAGGGAGAGCCGGTGAGGGCACCAGGGTCAGATGGGGCTGGAGAGCCAGGGGCCAAGCAGGCAAGACTCACCTCCTCGCCCCAGTCGGTGCCCCAGCTGTTCTTGATGGCCCAGAAGGGAATGTCAGAGCCTGGGGAACAGTGCAGGGTGCAAGGAGTCAGGGGTCCCCAATTTTCCAGTCAGAGCCTCAAGCACTTTGCACCCTTCAAACATCTGCGGTAAGCCTACTGTGTGACAGCTACTAGGGAGAGAGCAGAAAGCAAGAGAGGCCCGCCTGCCACCCTCACGAGACCTGGTCCAGTTCTGGGGCAGGGGGAGAGCAGCCACCCACCTGCCTCTAGCAGGTTATTGGGCCATAATCGTTCAACCTCCCATAGCTGTAGCCCCCTTCCACGGAGGGGATGGAGGATTTCTGCCTTGCCCACAGCCAGAGACGGGGGTAAGGACAGGGTTCCCAGGCATTGCCCCGATTTCCCGCTCTGGAGGTCCTGAGATGCTGTGGTCCAGCCCTGCCCGCGGCCTGGGGTGGACGCACAGACAGACGGTCAGCAGAACTCACGGTTGCCGTAGCCCACAAGCAGCACGGCATGGTCAATGAGCCAAGGGCTGCAGAGAGGCCGGAGTGGGCGGGAAATCCCGTGGCGGTAGAACTGGGGGGCAGAGAAAGGAGTAGGGGGCCAGTTCCAAGAAGTGGGGGAAGAGTCAGCAGGAGAGGGAGCAGGGGCAGCGGGCTCGGGCCCTACCTGCATGCCAAAGGCATTGATGGCGACGGAGACCGGGCCTTTCTTGGCCAGCCAGGCTGCCAGCTCTGAGGAGGGAGGGAGGGCATCAGCAGGCACCTGGGCCCAGCCCCACCTGGCCTGGCCTCACCCCACCCCTCACTCACTCTCTTCGTTCTGGCTCAGCTCCACCGAGTCATTGATGTAGACCTTGGCCTTCTCTGCCGAGAAGTTGCAGGCCTGCATGTAGCCCCGATAGCTGTAGTCATCCTCTGTCTCCAGCCCTCCTGGAGATGGAGGGGTGGGTTGGGGGTGGGTAGGGAAAGGGTGGATTCCCATTTACCATGCGCAGCCCGAGACGTGTGCAAAGCCCCTTAGACACGAGGTCTCTTGTTCCCCGCCCACCCCAGGCCACAGGCCATCCCCTCTGAGGAACACCCTCATTCAAGATTTAACACCGCAAGGCTGGGAGAGGTGGGGAGCGGGGAGAAGCAGTAACCAGCAAGAAAAGTGGCAGGGACAGGACTCAACTCCCAGCTTCTGACTCCTTGCCGAGGGTTCCTCCCAGCATTCCTAGCACCCTTGACTTTGTTCTGCTTGTTCTGCTGGCTGTCCACTCCTAATCTAGCCCAGACCCCTGCCAGGCTCCTGCATCAGTCTCTGTGCAGCCACATCAGTCCCTCAGCTCTTTACCCTTCCGCCACTGCAGCCCACCGCCGAACCGAACCGCCAATTTAGGTCCATAGCTCCCTCAGGGGTGAGGTGCGTTGCTACCTGGTTTAGCAGCATTAGAGAAATACAGACCCCTCAAGCATCAAATATACCAAGATCCCCTGCTCACCAAGTCCCTGCTACGAGCCTTCCTCACTTGATATTCAAAGTAGACCTACAAGGTGGGCACGGTGAGCCCCATTTCACAGATGAGGCAACTGAGGCTTGGAAAGAGCTGACTTGTCCAAGGTCTTCAGCCAATGAGGGTGAGCATTAAGACTTGAGCCCAGCTCTGTGCGACTCCCACGCTCATGTCTACCCCTTGTACACTGACCTCCTTCAGATGGAGAGGGGGTTCCTGCTGCCCGCCTCACCCCACTGATGCGTACCCAAATTCTTTATGGCCGAGTAGGCGTTGGAGGGAAAGCCACCCATGCAGGCTTTGTCCATCTTGTCACAGTCCAAGAGCTCTAGGAGACAGAAGGCTGGTCCCAAGGAGCCCTCCCGAGGGGCTGGGCTGGGGATGGGGGGTGGCGAGTGGGACGCTCACCCTGCTCAGAGAGGGACAGCAGGGTCCCCCGGTTCAGGTACCACTGGCCCTCCACATTGCCTGTGACTGAGAAGGCCCAGCAGGAGCCACACATGCCCTGGAAGGGACAGGCTGAGTCAGGGCTGGATCCCTTCCCCAAGCCCAGTGCAGTGCTCATGTCCCACCCTCACTTCTAGGTGTCCAACCTGGTTCTTGACATTGGTGACAGCCCCCTTACTCCTCCAGTCCCATGTAGGTGGGGCAGGGTCATTCACAGGCTTGGCTAGGCGCATCTTCTTGCCAGAATCTTCTCTTAGGTAGGGGTTCAGGTAGATGGTGCGGAACTCCTCCTCTGTGGACAAAGATGGGCAGGTCATGGCGGAGAAGAGTATTCTAAGCTAGCCTGACCAGGGACCTTGGGAGCAGGCCCTGTCTCTTCCAGGCTCCATGAGGGCTCCGGCCACCACCCCTACCTGTGAGATCACTGAACTTGGTGACCCCATAGCGAGCTGTGCCTTGGTCCAGGGCCTGGATCTTCTGTGCTCGCATCATGTTACTGACAAAGACAGACAGGCGCCACTGGGCTTCTGAGGACCAAGGAGCAAGAGAGGAGGGGCTCAAGCCCAGGCAAACCATACACAGAAGGGCAGAGGGGGCTAGCAGGTGGGGATTCCCCGGGGAGTAGGTGCATTCTGGATCAGCCCTGAAGCTCTGCTCAAGAAGGACAGAACCCTGGGGCAGGTGGGAGTGGGGGACCAGACCTGCAAGTGATGGAGTGGGAGGTCTGATCAACTTTGGGGGCCAAACTAGAGTGATGACTTCCTAGGTGTGAAAGCAGCAATCGAAATGGGTCTACAGGCACCACCCACAATAGGTCGTGGGGAAAAAACCATGGTGCCAGGGGGCCCACGGCAGAGAAAATCTAGTCTCTGCCCCATCCCGCCCTGCCCGGAGTGATGGAGGCCCATGGTTTCCGACGAGGAAGATAAGGTAGGAGTAGGGGCCAGGTACTCGGGGTGGCTGCTCAGGAGAATTTGGGAACTCAGGGGTCCTTGAAAAGATGCACTGCCTCTCGTGTCCTTCCCTTCCCCAACACCAAGGTGCCAAGCTGGGGAGGAAGGCCCTGATCTGACTCAAACAGGTTCAGCGGAGGCTGAGTCCTCACCTTCCTTAGTCGCATATGTCCGGTTATAGGTGATGAGAAAGTTCTTGAAGACTGAAGCCATTTTCACAGAAAAGTCCTGGAAACGCAGAAGGGTCTTTACAAGGAGCTCCCCCTGACCAGGGAGCCCCACTGCAGGGCGAAGGGAGGAGAAGTGGAATAAGGCAGCACTGGCTCCCCCAGGATGGGCTCCTCACCTGGGGCAGAGGGTCCTTGCTCAACAGCGGAAGGACTGAAGTCCAAGTCTCATTTCTGTCATCTGGATAGGGTTGGGACAGAGAGGGAATCAAGACTGAAGTCTGAGTAAAGTCTGACTGGGCTATCCCAGCATCCTTGGGCTATCCCAGCACCTGTAACCTTGGTATCCACTGGGCCACAGTCCCTCCTCAGCAGCATGTGTTTTCCTAGCTCATCCAGGATTTCGAAGCTGCAGAGCTGGAGGGAGAGGAAGAAGCCAGTCTGGGGGCTGGGATGGGCGCAAGGTCTGGGCACGATAGAGGCTCCTCAGATGAAGACCACCCCAAGCAATCACCCCCACAGTGGAGAGTGAGGCACAGCCAGCACCCGGACACCTCCTTTTCGCAGTATCTTGGTCTCTGGCCCTCGGGGCCTGGGAAGTGACTCTGGATGGGGTAGCTTCTGCCTCAGATCCCCGCCTCTTCACCTGACCCATCATCATCCAACTGCTGCCGACTCAGCCTGGGGGTGGGGAACTGGCGGGAGTCCCATCACTCACCAGAGTTTTCTTGGACACAGGGAGCTGGCACACCATGGGGTCGTTGCAGGGTGGCTCCTCCAGGGTCGCCTCCAGGGAGTACAGCGACCCCCGGCCCGCCTGGACAGAGGAGCGGGTGGGTGAGGCGGGCACAGCCACTCCGTCCTCAGCCTGACCTTCATTGACCCCACAGCCCCGCCGTGCCGCCCTCCCAGCTCCCGGTCACCAGAGGTTCGTCTCTCCGCTGTCCAGGCCCCCACCCCAAGTCTAGGCCGAAGGCCCGGCCCCCGGCGCGTCCTCACCCGGCGGACGCGGCCGCGCACGGCCCCCAACACCGCCCGCGTCCCCGCAGCCCGGCCGCGGTTGTACATCTCCAGGGCGAAGCGGGCGGGCCCCAGCAGCGCCGGGGAGGGCGGCCCCCAGGCCTGAGCGCCGGCGCCTCGGAGCTCGGCGGGGGCGGGCGCCGCGCCCGGGATCAGCCCCAGCAGCAACAGCAGCGGCAGCCAGAACGCCATGGCCAGGGCGACGCCGGCGGCCCGGACTCGCGGACCGACAGACGTGCTGACCAACCGACCGAGCGGGAGCCCTCGGCCAGCCGGCGCTCCGCCCCCGCGCCCCGAGCCGGCCAATGGGCGCCGGCCTGCGGCGCCTGCGCATTCGCTTATTTACGGGCGGCACGTGGGTCGCGTGGGGGGCGGCGGCAGGTCGCTGGCCCGGGGATAAAACCCACCGCGACAGGAAGGCGGGCCTGTGGTACATGAAAGTACATTCCCTCTCCCCTTGTCCGTCGTGGGCAGTTCTGCGAAGTAAGGGCCATCTTCGTCTTAAATTGAGGACAAGAGGCTTAGAGAGATTAAGTGGCCTGCCACACATCTGGGAAGAGGTAGAGCTGGGCTTGAACCCAGGTGGTTGGCTTCTGAGCTTGGGTGCGCAGCCTGGTCATCTCTTTGAGGCCCCCCCCTTCCGACAGCGAAATGGCTCAGGCTGTTGAGGGGATGGAACGCGTGCATGCAAGCTTTTGGTAACCACGAGAGCAGTGTGCACAGCCGGCCTGGGAAGCACGCACAAGTGCATCGGGCACTCGGAGCTCACGGTCCAGCGGACATGCAGATGAGAAAAGGACGTTTTCCCGAAAGGGGTTCCCGGCTGGGAAAGAGGAAACAGAGAAGGGAGACTTGAAGGGAATTGGAGCAATCACAGAAGAGGGGTGGGAGAACTGATAATTAGAGATCATCTAGTCCAAACCTGACTTTTTACAGCAGCAGCGGTCCAGGGAGGCAAATTCCAGCTGCCCAGAAATCAGTACTGGAGCCAGCTTAGTGTTCCCAGTTGCCAGCTTAGGTCTGAGAGGGGAGGACCTGAGAGATTACAGCAGATGCTGAGCTCTCTCTGCTTGCGCCCTCCCCTGGGGTAAGCTCTAGACAATCCCAGGTCCTCAGTATCTTCTAAGGCCCAGAGGTCTATTCTCTGTTGGATCCTCACCCCATTCTGTGCACTTAACACTCAGTCTATTTACATCTCCTCAGAAACTCAAGCTCTTGCACACCTTGGAAACGTCACACTTGCTTTTCCCTAGGCCTAACTCCCAGACACCTTTTTGTTCTCAATTTGGAAGTCACTTCCTCACGAAGACGTTTCTGACCCACCCCATCTGCCGCTGGCCGGGCTCAATGCCATTGCCTCTTACCCCTAGATCCCTAGTCCCCCTGAATGTCCTCTTACAATGCACTGCAATTTCCTGTTCGCTGGTGGTGTTTGGTGTCCTCCACTTGGCCAGGAGCTCCTCGGGGCAGGGACCCCGCTGCTTGCTGTCTCATTGCTCTTTCCCCAGCGCCGAGCACAGTGCCTGACATGCTGAATGCCTGCCCAGTAAAGGCATGTTGGATGAATGAATGACTCCTTTGGCATGACCTGGAGTGGTGCGATGTCACCCAACTGCTGTTCAATACATAGGTTCACTTTCCTTTTTTTTTTTTTTTATTTAATGAGACAGGGTCTTGCTCTGTCACCCAGGCTGGAGTGCAGTGGCACAATCATAGCTCACTGCAGCCTTGAACTTCTAGGCTCAAGCGATCCTCCTGCCTCAGCCTCCTGAGTAGCTGGGACTACAGCCATGGGCTACCACACCCGCTCCAGAGCTTCATTTTCTAGAAGGATGAAGGCTGTGAATATGGTCCTCACAGTCCTGGCAGAAGAATCTGAGAAATTGCCTGCTATCATTGAGCCAGACTCCTGCCTGTGTCTGTGGGAGGGTACATACCACACTCACACACACTTCATCTCCTGAAAGGTCTGAAGCTGAATGAATTAAGAACAGTGGGTTCTAAGGCTCTGGCAGAGACAATACAATTTTTCTTAAATCTAAGTTTCCAGAGATCCACGTTGGTGTGGTACTCAGCCTTTGTGGGAAACAATCATCTTCCCCTAAGTCTGTTCCCTGGACACTGGAGCCATCTGACAAGTGTCTGGGGGGAAGGGTGCTCATCTTCTTGCCAGAGTGACACATGAGAGCATAATTATAATTAATGGAGTGAATTCTTTAAAGCCACACATATATTACTTCAGGCAATTGTCACAATCCCGCAAGAGAGAAATGCACGATTGGAAAAAGAAGACCTGGAAGCCCAGGGCTGTGCTGGCATTCAGAAGCTGAGCTGAAAAGAGGGAGCAGAGGAGACTGGAAAGGAGGGGACACTGAGGGAGGAGCAAGACTAAGAGGGTGAAGTTAAGAAAGCAGAGGAAGAGAATGTATTTCAAGAAAGAGAAAGTGTCAGAAGCCACCGGGAGGGTAAGTAAGATGAGGAGAGAGAAGTGACCTTTAGATTGGGCAACATGTAGGTCATTGGGAACCTCAGTAAGAGCAGTGGGTTACTGTTGCTCAACATAGTACTGGAAGTTCTAGCTAGAGAGCGATCAGACAACAGAAAAAAATAAAGGGCATCTAAATTGGAAAGGAAGAAGTCAAATTATCCTTGTTTGCAGATGATATGATCTTATATCTATAGAAACCTAAAGACTCCACAAGAAACTATTAGAACTGATAAATTCAGTAAAGTCGCAGGATACAAAATCAACATTCAAAAATCAGTAGCAGGTTGGTCCGAGTGCAGTGGTGTTTACAACTTTGATCACAACCACTTACAGATTCCTTTGTTCCTTCTCCACTCCCACTGCTCCACTTGACCAGCCTAAAAAAAATCAGTAGCATTTCTATATGCCAACAACAATCTGGAAAAGAAACCAAGAAATAATCCCATTTACGGTAACTACAAATAAAATAATACAAAATACCTAGAAATAAATTTAACCAAAGAAGTTAAAGACACCTACAATGAAAACTATAAAACATTGATGAGGCCGGGCGTGGTGGCTCACACCTGTAATCCTAGCTCTCTGGGAGGCCGAGGCGGGCGGATTGTTTGAGCTCAGGAGTTCGAAACCAGCCTGAGCAAGAGCGAGACCCCACCTCTACTAAAAATAGAAAGAAATTAATTGGACAACTAAAAATATATAGAGAAATTAGCCGGGCATGGTGGCGCATGCCTGTAGTCCCAGCTACTCGAGAGGCTGAGGCAGAAGGATCGCTTGAGCCCAGGAGTTTGAGGTTGCTGTGAGCTAGGCTGACGCCACGGCACTCACTCTAGCCTGGGCAAAAGAGTGAGACTCTGTCTCAAAAAAAAAAACATTGATGAAAGAAACTGAAGAGGACACACAAAAAAATGGAAAAATACTCCATGCTCATGGGTTGGAAGAATCAATATTGTTAAAATGTCCATACTCCCCAAAGCAATCAGCAGATTCAATACAATCCCCATCAGAACCAATGACATTCTTCACAGAAATAGAAAAAATAATCTTAAAATTTATATGGAACCACAAAACCCAGAATAGCCAAAGCTATCCTGAGCAAAAAGAACAAAACTGAAGGAATCAATTTCCTGACTTCAAATTATACTACAGAGCTGTAGTAACCAAAACAGCATGGTACTGACATAAAAACAGACACATAGACCAATGGAACAGAGTAGAGAACCCAGAAATAAATCCACACATCTGTAGTGAACTTATCTTTGACAAAGGTGCCAAGAACATATGTTGGAAAAAGGATAGTCTCTTTAATAAATGGTGCTGGGAAAACTGGATATCCATATGCAGAAGAATGAAACTAAATCCGTATCTCTCACCATATATAAAAATCAAATCAAAATGGATTAAAGACTTAAATCAAAGACCTGAAACTATGAAACTACTAAGCGAAAACATTGGGGAAATGCTTCAGGACATTGGTCTGGGCAAGGACTTCTTGAGTAAGGCCCCCAAAGCTCAGGCAACCAGAGCAAAATTGGACAAATGGGATCACCTAAAGCTAAAAGCTTCTGCACAGCAAAGGAAACAATCAACAAAAAGAAAAGACAACCCACAGAATGGGAGAAAATATTTGCAAACTACCCATCTGACAAGAGATTGATAACAAGAATGTATAAGGAGCTCCAACAACTCAGTAAGAAAAAAATCAAAGACTCCAATTAAAAAATGGGCAAAAGATCTGAATAAACATTGCTCAAAAGAAGATCTACAGATGGCCAACAGGTATACGAAAAAATGATTGACCTCATTAGTCATCAGAGAAATGCAAATCAAAACTACAATGGGACTGGTCTGATGGTAATGGATCATCAAAACTTATTAACATTAGTGTCACAAAAGTTGATGTACGACCCCTCCACTGCTAAATTTGACTGGCTTTAAAAAAATAAAAATAAATAAAAAACTACAATGAGATATCATCTCACCCCAGTTAAAATGACTTTTATCAAAAAGACAGGCAATAATGAATGTTGGTGTGGATGCGGAGAAAGGGGAACCCTTGTCCACTGCTGGTGGGAATGTAAATTAGTGCAACCACTGTGGAGGTTCCTAAAAAAACTAAAAATAGAACTGCTATATGACCCAGCAATGCCTCTGCTAGGCATATATCCAAAAGAAAGGAAATCAGTATATCGAAAAGATTATCTGCACTCCCATATTTATTGTAGCACTATTCACAATAGCCAAGATTTGGAATCAATCTACATATCCACCAATGGATAAATGGATAAAAAAATTGTGGTAGATACACATATACACAATGGAATATTATATAGTCATAAAAAGACTGAAGTTCTGCCATTTGCAACAGCATGGACGGAACTGGAGAATGTTAAGTGAAATAAGCCAAGCACAGAAAGACAAATCTCTCATGTTCTCACGCATATGTGGGAGCTAAATATTTAAACAATTGATTTCATGGAGACAGAGAGTAGAATCATGGTTACCAGAGGCTGGGAAGGGTAGCAAGGAGGGGGGATAAAATAGGGATGGTTAATATGTGCAAAAATATTTAGATAATTACATAGAATGAACAATATTTGATAGCACAACAAAGTGACTATAATGACCAAGTTAGAGTACACTTTAAAATAACTGAGAGAGTGGAGTTGGACTGTTCCCAACACAAAGAAGTGATAAATGCTTAAGGTGACAGATACCCCAGTTACCCTGATGTGATTAATACACATTGTATGTCTGTCTGAAAACATCACATGTACCCAATAAGTATATACA